CTCTGTTTGTGTTTCACTGAGAGTATTGATTTTTTTTCTCAACTACACACCCCCTTACTACTGTTTTGTGGCTTTGTCTGTGTTATTATAAAATGATTTTGCAGTGACAATGAACATCTGTCAGCATTCATATGAATAAGTCAGATACTGCACATCCTCCCCTTTTGTTGGAAATGTTCTTTTTACTTGGATTTAATGAGGCAACATAGAAACAATGTAACCACTTCATAAAGTCTTTGAACATTCATGCACATAATATACATATAGAAATGCAAAAAAATAGGTTATTTTAGATTGACTAATTGCTTCGTTAGATAAGGCTCAAACCTCAAACTGATACAGAACAGTAACGGTGTGTGTGTGCATATAAAATGAAAACATGAGCTGCTGTGTCCTTTTGTTAGCTTTATTTAGCCTTTGTACTTGGCATGTCACATCTCTGTGTGGTGGCAGCAGTGGCGTTGGGATGTAAGCAGGTGTTAACTGGGTGGCTCAGTTATGGCTGCTTTCCTCTTACTTACTGTAAATGCTCTCTCTTCCTCCTGTTCTGCCATTCTCTCCATCCCTTCTTTCTCTTCTCCCTCCTCTCTTCTCTCCCTTTTTTCGAGCTGGGCTACAGATGAGTGGTTTTCCAAAGGTAAGCTCTTTACCGCTGTATGACCGCCCTTTGCTTCTGCTTCCTGTTGTCATCGTTGTTGTGGTAGTAGTACTAGAGTAGCTAACAGGTCGGTGTAACTGACTTTGTTCTAACATGCACGCATTCCCCTCACTGTGAAAGAGTTGTAGTGAAATACCTAACATGCATCTCAGTTTTTGGTCATAGCACGTGTCTAACCAAAGTAGAATAAATGTACTCACAGTAGAACTCATTCTGTAAAATAAATCCTCATATTTAGATTCTGCGTGTTTCTAAGGCTGTAATGTTGATGTTTGTTTCTAGGTAGGAAAGATGACGATGCAACAACAGATATCATAGACATTCCAAAGAGGACCTCACCTGCTAAAGGTAACTATAGGCTCAGTTGACACTTAAACTGTATGTAGCATACAGTAAGAGACAACTGAGAAATAAAATATACATCTGTCCCTAACTTTCCATCTCAAACCATCTTCACCCTCTTTTTGTCTCTCCTCCCTTCTGTTTCTTTTACATATTTCTCATCAATCACTTTCTCCTCCTTCCCTGTAGGCTATGAGCTGTTGTACCAGCCAGAGGTGGTCCGCATCTACACCTCTCTGCTAAAGGAGTCCAAGAACCCCACCGTGCTGGAAGCCTCGGCCGGAGCCATTCAGAACCTGTGTGCCGGACGCTGGACTGTAAGAACCGCTATCTGTTTTTCTCCGATTCCATTTCACAGCAGCAACGCTCCCTGTGCTGATCAAACACACTAGTTAAGGAATCATAACATTACAGCACACTACAGCACCAAACAGAGGGAGTTTGAATACTACTTGGCGTGTCGAGACAGTGGTGTGTATACTCAGGGAAGCACCTTTTGTCATGAGTCATCGTGCAGTTAGATTGGGCGTCACGAAATTACGTAAAAACCTGAGATCACAGTCTGTCAAAGGTAGAGAAGCTTGTCCCTTGATTTAAATGAAATATAAACTGTGTCTGTTTAGTATGGGCGATACATCCGTGCCTTGCTGCGCCAGGAGAAGGGTCTACCCATGCTGACAGAGCTGCTGGCCCACGGCAACGACCGCGTCGTCCGTGCCATGTCTGGAGCCCTCCGCAACCTGGCCATTGATTCACGCAACAGAGATCTACTAGGTGAGACTTGGAGCGCAGTGTGTGACTCAGCTAGTTGTTTTTCCCACAATACCACAGTTTTAACCATGTAGCACCAGAAGAATTTCTTGTATCAAGAAGATGGCGTCAGTAGTTTGTTTTAACGCTCTTCTCATACTTGGGTGTTGTCAGGTAGACATGCGGTGCCTCCGCTGGTGGCCAACCTGCCCGGCGGTGGTCAGAGTCAGCCGGTGCGAGCGCTGTCGGAAGAGACGGTGGTGTCGGTACTGAGCACGCTCCATGAGGTGCTGGGCTCCAGCCTGGAATCAGCCAAGACCCTCAGGGCCTCACAGGGAATCGAGAGACTGGTGCTCATTAATAAGGACGGGTGAGGATTTATAGAAGATCTTTTTAGGTCTGCAGTTTTGAATGACTTGTCTTCATGATGTGTTCTATATAAGCGCCATCTTGTTTTTAAATTCCCTCTCTCTGCCTCTGGTCCCCTGGGATAACCAGCAACCGCTCTGAGCGGGAGGTGCGTGGGGCCGGCCTGGTGCTGCAGACAGTGTGGGGCTACAAGGAGCTGCGGCGCACTTTGGAGAAGGACGGCTGGAAGAAGACAGACTTCATGGTCAACCTAAACCCTCCCAGCAACAACACCAGGGCCAACGGAGGATATGAGGACAGCACTCTGCCGCTCATAGGTCAGGAAACGAACGGGAAACGCATGCATGTGAAGTGTACCGCCCTGCAAAGCATCATGTCTGCGAGTTTAGTTTGTGTCTCCTGTCTTGAAATTACCTGTCCAGTGCAAGTATTGTTTGTATAGAAGCATTATTTTTATTATGTCATTTTGTTGATGTTAACCACTGCAAAACACACAAAAGGTATATTCCTTGTTAGTAATACAGAATACAAACTACTGCTAAGATTTAAACCATTAGTGGGTTTTTTTACTGTTTTATTCTCTAATGCATGGTACATTTTCAAATTCATCTATGCCTGGCTTATTTGAGTTTGCACAGGTCCATTTCTGATTGCTGTTTTATTTTAAATATGGAGAGTGCACTTGCAACAAGTTTTTATGTAAGGCATTCAAACGCTCTAATTCTAGTGTTTTTAAGCAAAACAAGTCTTTAATTTCACTTAAGCTCCAGAGAGCTCTGCTCAAATTCTACAGACTTAACTGTGGCGGTGTATCAGAGAATTGGCACTCCTTACAGTCTTTCTGTATGCTTCTATGTACTGCACTTCATAAGTTGTAGGCTGTTTGCAGACTTAGATTAGATTAGAGGTGCAGTCTTGTGCGTTTGTATCAACCCGCTTGCGATACCTTTAAGGGTGTACCCCACAGTGGGACATTTGAGATGATCCCAACTCAGTCAATCACCGTGTTTATGTTAAGGTTTTCTTTTTAATATGTTCAAAAGATCTTTGAGCTCCTTGGCACTGATTTTAAAGTTTCAAAACTCCACTCATGAAACACCAAAGTAACATAAACCATACATTTGCAAATACTAGCTGGGTCATGTCAGGCACTTGAAACACTTACAAAACACTCACACACCTACACAGTATTCTATCTTTGGCAGGAGATGGTGTGGCTGTTAACAACTGCTTCTCTGGAAGATAACAATAATGTTTAAAAGTACATATTGGTGCTCATTGTTTGTGTGTCTTTAATACACAGGGGGCAAAGGGGACCGGGACATGATTCCAATGAATGACATGGGACCAGGTACGTGTGACAGCAGAAAATACAGACACTCACACACAAACCAGGCTGTGATATTGGCTTGTGTAACAGATGAAACTTATCAATGAGTAGTTTTTTTGGGACACACACACACACACACACACGTACACCTACCTCTAGTTTAACATATATTTCTCTTCTTCAGATGCCTACTCCACACTGGACCAGAGAGGGAGAAGGAACACTCTGGATAACACACTCGAACCTGCTGACAAAGACGCAGTACAGGTACACACTGGCTCACATGCTCACACACACACACACACACACACATAACCCTGCATGACTGCACTTTAAGAACTATTTAAGTCCTTTACTCCTAACATCAACTCTGCTGCATACTTCTACATCCCTTTACTTACCCCAGTACAATTTTAAGAGCTTTGAACAGACAAATGTACATTTGTGAGAGTAATATTACAGGTTTTTAAAACACCCTTTCTGTAGAGCGGTCCTCCACAGGATGTTATCTTTTCATGTGCTAATACTGTTTACCTCTGCATAATCTCTGTGCAGTTCCACTCCCTTCAGGAGACATCAGTGCAGAGTCTGTGCAAAGCTGAATCATTTTTTTTTTTGGATTGGATAGTGACTGCATAGCAAAAAATGGTTTATCATGTGCAACACACACACACACACTCACACACTGACCTTTTTGAGGTTTCCGGATGATACACAGACCGATATCCTCATTTCTTGCTAAAAAGGTTGCCGTGTGAACGGACACACTCACACACGCCCACCGACAGCATGTTAATGCATGTCTTATTAAAGCGCTGTGGTTGATCTGCGTCTGGCACATTATTTCTCACCAGTGGTGTTTTTTTCCCCTGAAACATGACTAACATTAAACTAACATTTTGTAACCCTTCTTTCTTTTCTCATCTGATGCCCTTATTATTCCTCCACTTCTTTTCTCTTGCTGTTCTTTTTCCCCTCTTCTTTTTTTTCATATTTCACGTCTCCTCACCTTCTCCTTTTGGATTTTCACACGTAACCCTCTCATTTCTTTATTTACCCTGTCCTCGCTGTGTGTCTTGTCTCTCTGTCTCTTTATGTCTCCTTTGGTCTCTGTCCTCCTCTCTTTATCTGTCACACACTCCTACGCTCTTTCTTTTTGTCTCCCTCTTTCTCTCTCTCAGGGAGGGATGTATGGGGAGAGGCAGGCCTCTTTGCCTCTAATGGATTCTTACGATGGTTAGGCTACACCCACTGTCACACTGCATGTCAGCGCATGGTATGTGTGTCCCACCGGCTGCTCCTCTCAACTCACTGCATGGCCTAATACGTTAGTTGTGTATTAAGAACTGTGACTGTTTGTGTTTGACAGTGACCAGTGTTGTCAATGAGCTTCCATTGTATTTGGACTGTTTTTTGCTCCCCCTGCTGGTGAAAAAGTGTCAGTGATTTTTTTTTTTTGGTTTTCCTGAGATGTGATTTTATTTTTCTCTCTGCACAGTTTGTATAATTTTTGTCTAACATGTGGTGACCTTGTTGCCAGCAGCCACTATTGTGTATTGTATTTTGTGATTCTTTTTTAAGCCTCTGCTGTGAATCTGAAAGTGAAATGTGCGATTCTTCCCGCCTAGGCATGAACACCTCACATTAGCTGCTCCACATGATCAATTCCCACACTTGTGCCTCTTCTCTTGCAGAAAAACTGATTGTGTGCATTACAAGACGACAGCCTCCTCCCACCTACTGCCCTTGCTGAACTGACAATGGGGGACCACTACACTACCGATGGGACTAAACTCCATCCTTAACTCTTCTGTCTCTCTTCACTCTATTGCAGCTTCTCGTCTCTCTCTTTCTCTTTATTACATTCCCCCATTGCAGCTGACAAACTATTGAAACCACATGGAAAAACTGACGTGAATCTCCGCTCCCTGTGGACAAACCGGACGAGACACTATGACCACTTTGTGCTCTGTGGGTCCCTGAGCTCCAAAAACACTAACCACTCGATCGGAGGCCGTGGCCACAACACTACATCTCCACGCAACAATGCTACAACACTACAACTTGCCTGGACAACACTAATTCTCCCTGCGACTAAAAAGCAGAGACTGTGGCTTCATCTGAGAACTTTTCTATGTCTTGGAGGTCGGAGCGTAGACTTAGACTAATTAGAAAGAACTGTGGGGATCAGAGCAGGACACTTTTTGGGGAAATTTTACATAAATGGATATTACACTATGTTTCGAAGAAACTGAGGGAATGTGTCTTTTTCTCTCTCTCTTTCTGTTAGTTAAATACTACAAAAAATATCTTTCCTACCACTGATGTTTAACAATCTAATCAGATTTGTTGTTTTGGTAGTGGTAATTCCTCTTCTTGCTTTGCTCTGTACCACAGTAATGCACATGTGCCAAATGACACTGCTACAGTTGCGACTGCCAATATTGAATGCAAGAACTTCACACTTTTTGCAGCAGCTACACTGAAAAACTCATCATCTGCTTTGTTTTGTGCGCAGTTTGTGTCGGTGACAGTCCATCGCCAAGATGCATGGGGATGCTGCATTTTCTGTATTTGATTGTGATCCATAGATATAAGAGTGGAGGTCCAAGTATGGAGAATTCCTACAGACAGAACTAGAGACATTATTTTCTATCTCATTGGAATAGACAGTATAGTCTGTTCTACATTTCTAAAGTGTTTCTGTTAAATGTAGGCCCCTTAACTTTGTAATTATTGGGAGGTTTCACAGGATTCCATGGGTGCATTACCCTTATATGTCTGTAATCTTATGAATGTGTACATACAAGTGTCTAAGAGCATCTGTGTGGGCTAACTGGAGTGCCTCACTCATTCAGGATAGGTCTGATGGGTTTGTCCAACATGACAAGGGTTAACCAATCAAGGTGTGTTTTTCTCAGCAGTTGGGAATACTGTATATGGAACTCAGCAGTTATATTCTGCAAGATAATGGAATATGTGAACTTGTATGTATGTAAGAGTTGATTCTTGTCATTGGGATTGGTTTTTTACAAGGTATATAACCTGTGAGTTCTCTTTAATTTACTGCTATCCTTAGCCTACCTGGCTTTAAGACTACAGAATAGTACATGGGAAAAGACACAGTATTGTCTGTTTTTGCCCGCGTTTCTTACGTACAGTGCTTGTTCTGTAGAAGAATGCATATTCTTAGTGCCGAGTGAGATGTAGATACTTACTGAGTGGATGATTAAAAGAAGCACTAGGGGGGTATAATGTGTGTTTTTCTTTTTTTTCCTCCTTTTTTTATTTTTACCTTTCCTTTTATTTGTTTTCCATGCCAATTGAAACACTACTTCTCAAAGTAACAAGTTGCCTTCAAGAATGGACTGACTAAAAGAGGGGAATAGAGGAGAGCAAGGGTTTGTGTCAGAAAATCTGTGTAAGAGGCCAGAATCTGCTATTAGATAAAGTGTAGAAAAAAAAATAAAAGCACATTTAAACTATATATACAAGAGAATATTTGTTAATTTTGGTTTTATGTATTTCTTTTTTTTTAATATTGATTTGGGTTTAATTGTTTTGGGTGCTCTGGGTGAAAGCATATGCAATCAGTTTATATGTTTTGATTGAAAACATTCAGTTTATGTCTTAATTAAATGCAAAACAAGTTAGCTAATCAAAAATCCTCCAACACAGTCATCAGATACTGGAACACTAATGGAAAAATCTGATTCTGGACTACACCATAATCTCTTTGCCTTGGCTCTTAAAGTTGCACATTCTCATTTATGAATGAATTATGTAACTAGCAATACTGTTTTTAATAAAAAAGAAAATGATTTCTCAGAGCCTGTTTTCTTTTGCCTCTTGTTGATCACACTCATTTATAACAGATCAGTGAGGAGCGGTTCATTATGGGAACAGAGAACAAACAAACGTCGTTATACAGAGCGGCCAGTAGGTGTCGCTATTAATCAGCGGCTCACCACTTCACCTGCGACAACAGTGGGTGTGAAACATTGAATGATTGTGGGACTTTGATTTTGGGGTTCAGTGCTAGCGTCATTTGTTTGAAATACAGTTAAAGTTTCCGAAACACATCTGCTCTGCAACAGAGAAATACTGGTAAGTGTGATGTCCATGCTAATGCGAAGTTACCTCACTTTATCTGCAGTGTGTGAACTTCAGTGTACAGTAAGCTAACCTTAACTTGAGCCAGTCACACTGAGCTGCACCGCGGTTTGACAGTTAACTGTACTGTCGTTGGTGAACGAGGTGGACATGTCACATTTATTTCTTAAATCTTCTTTTGGTTATTGCGGCTAACAGCTAACGTTAGCTGCCTTATTAGCAGAAATGAGAAAAACAACTTGCGACGCAAATTTCATCCTTAAAAGAAATGTTGTGCAGAATTGTGCCCTGTGGCTGAAAGAAACCGGCTGAGGTTAACAGAAAAGACAACTTAAGTGTAGTGAAATGTTTAAGTAAAAATGACATTTAACATTAACGTTCCGCGAGCGCAGTTGTGGTCCTCCACGTGCTCGGAGTCCAGTATTTAAGGCTGAGACACGAACCAGGCTGTGCCACGTTAATGCTAGGCGGCTATGTTGCTGCTGCACATGTCAGTCAAAACAACTCTTGTGCTGCGCTTTAAGGGAAAAAAGCTGCTTTAAAAATTCAGTAAAGAACTGCAGCTATAGACTGTGACACAGTAACTGTTCAAGGTGCTTTACATTGCACATGGATAAATAAATGATACAGGATAACAACTTGTAACGCATTCAGACATTAAAATGAAATCATCAATAAATAGTAAAACCGAAGCAGGGACGGAGGTTTAAATGGGAAACAGTGAACAGGTAGGCTTTAACCGCCTCAGCCCTGCTGGATCCGCCACTGTCATGCTGTAAGGTCACACACTGTTCAAACACACACAACTTTATTTTAAATTCTAGTGAAGATCCAAAAGTTTTCAAAGATATCAAAAATGCAATATATGTATGTATTTGGTTCGAATGAGCATACAGAACTTATATTTGTGATGTTTTATAACTAAATGTTTATTTTGATGGGGCATTTAAGGGAGAAAAGAAAACTCAGGTTCACTGGTACCAGCAACGGTAGGTGTGCTTTTGTTTGTTTCTTTAAACAGTAACTACATTCCTTTTATCTGTTATCTCACCTCTGATACACTTCTTGCTCCCAGTACACATGTGGACATGCAGAGGTACCGGTGGCCAGGTTATGAGATGCAGCTTCTCAGAGAGCTGCAGAGACAACAAAACAACGCCCAGTTCTGTGATACCCTGTTGCAAACTGAAGGTGAGCTGTGTACGTGATTGCACTATTGAAATGAAACAGTGGTGTAGCATACTTAAAGTTTTAAATGGAATGAAAATCCATTTGATTTTTTTTCAATATCTCCTACAATTTGTGAAGGTATCTCAGTCCCAACCCACAGTTGCATCCTCGCAGCTCTCAGTCCCTACCTGTCTCAGAAGCTGTCAGCCTCACCGCCTCCTCCATCGGGCCAGAAGCGCCAGCTCCAGCTCCAGGCTGTCAAGGCCCAGACCCTGCTGAAGCTGGTTGGTCTTCTGTACTCCGGGGAGGTGGAGGTGAAGGGAAGCATAGAACAGAATGACGTGCTGTCTGCAGCCCGCCAGTTTGGGATAACAGCCCTTGTTGAAAGACAGAGCTTCTCCATTTCCCTTAATGATGACTCAAACTCCTTGACACCTCAGGAAGACAGCTCCCACCAGCAGTCATCTGAGTTTGGGGACAGGGTTGGGACAGGATTGGACGATAAAAAAACAAATGCCAAGACGGCTGAAACAAGGGAAGATACCGAGCAGCCAAGCCCCGCCAACAGAGATGAGATACCAGGAGAGGAACAAGGAAACTCTACAGAGAAGCATGCGTGCGCAAATATAGGGACGAAGAGTCTGGCTAAGATGAAACAGATGCAAAAGATGATGATGAAAGAGACGACACAGATTTCTATCAAGGTAAGAAGAAGCAGTTCATTTTTTCACATGAAAATAACCTTGAAGGAGTTGTCTTTCATGAATGCATGTGGACATAAAGCCTAAAAGCTGTTTTAGACGAGATTACAGAGAAATTTTGTTTATCAGGCCAAATTGCAAAATTACACGACAGAATACAGGACCTGGAAGTAAGGGTGCTGTCAACAAACCACAACGTCCTGAGAAGGGATTGACCAGTATGGTCTTTTCAGGGCTGATACAGATACTGATTATTAGTAATCAAAGAAACCGATGACTGATATTTGAAACCGAAACACATTTGCAATAAAAATGGAAATCTTGGTGTCAGATTTTTAAATATCTCATGGTGGAGTGTAACTAAATCTACCTCCAATTTTGAGGTACTTTACTTACTTTATTCTGAATATTTTCATTTTGTGCTACTTCATACTTATACACATTTTGGAGGCAAATATACAATTTATTTGATACTAGTTTGCAGACTCACATTATTAATACAAATATAAACCATCTCATAAATGATGTATTATTATAGATCTATATATAAGATCCCCAGCAGTTAAGTAGTTAAAAATTAGCTCCACATTTACCAGCTCCAACATTAAAGTGATGAACACATTATTGTAACAATACCAAAATCCAGCGATTATAATATATTATTCTTAAATAGGTTATTCTGCACTTTATTTAAAGTATATTTTGATGCCAATACTTTTGTACTTTTACTAAGATTTTGAATACAGGAGTGATTTTACACTGTGGTATCGCTCCTTTTTAAGCAAAAGATCAGAGTACTTTAAGCATATATTTAATTAAATGCAGCAAATGAGAACCTTTCAACATTATCTTGAGAAAAATGATTACTATACTTTTGCTCATGATGTGAAACCAATCCGATAATAGTGCTTTGGGCGGGTCATTGAGCAAGACTAAGGAGTGGTGGCTACAGACAGAGAGACAGAGAGAGGCGGCTACATTAGAGCCAAAGTAGCACATTACCTTTGGGAGTCGCGTTGTGCAAGTTTTCATCTCAACATTCTGGGAATATGAGTCTATTGAACCATAAGAGATCGTATTGTTGGGTTGCAGCTACCTACCGTAGTGTGCGACTCATTTTTTCGTCTAGCAAATTTTTCAGGTTATCCCAGTCAACTCAACCGCTGTTGCCCAGCCATTTTGAGCCCTGTATCGATTTCCCCTCGGCTGTAGAAATGGTTGTCACTTCCACATTCCACAAAGACAAGAAAGGACGTTTAAAGTTTGTGGATTCAGTGACAGGGTTGTCACATGTGTCAGCTATGATATGTTCATGATGTCTTTGGACTGTCATAACAAATCCACCTTTTGTGTTCTCGTCATTGCTGGAGTGTCTTTCCTCTGTGCAGGTGAAGCTGAGGAGGAGGACCAAAGGAGAAGTGTGGGAGGTTGTGAGCATGCAAGACGCAGATGACACACTGTCAGTTCTTACCTCCCTGAAACAGGTAGATAAGTATGATGATGTCATTCTGTACAGACACACTTTAATCCACTTGGATTTGATTGGATGTTTTGATGTGCGGAGGACGCAAATATATAACAATTAGAATATTGTGCAATAAATACTCAATAATTTGTCTTGGTGATGTGTGGCAGTGCAGAGAGACTATAATTTCACAGTATTGACTAATAAATGCAGCAAAAGAAAGACATCACTTCATCAGACATTATTTAAAGTTGCTCATATATATGCATTGTGAAAATAGGGGGTAGAATATTAAGGATAAAGATCCTTTTTTTTGAAGACACTATGAAACTACAAACCTTGGTCACATTAGCCATGTAGCGGTGCTGTATTTGTCTGCCCTAATGATTTTGGCTGGGACTGATGCACCTAATAACTTAATGTGGTCTCTCTGGACCTCTGTTAGTCTCATATTGTCTCATAGTGGTGACTGCCAGGCCTTCCTTTTTTATGAAATGAAATGCGAGTGACGAACAGAAGCCAGAAGCTTTTTGATATATCGCAATACAAACACAAACTAAAGCACTAAGAAATATAATGAACGCATGGGAAAGTAATGAGATGACAGAAGGGAAGTGTTAAGAGTAAGAATAATGCTCTTGGCAAATTTATTGTGCAACACGCATGGAGACGTGACACACAGAAGAGGAGGCGGTGCTGTGGAGAGTGGTGCAGGTAGTCAGGCAGAAGTTCTGGTGTGTTGTTCAGGCTATATGATGCAAACATCCGGTAAAATCCTAACTTAGTAGCTCCAGACTGCTCGAGCTGCCGCCTGAAGCTAGATGGACAGCAAGCATGTTTCATCATCTGCTCCCAGACTCGAGCCTGAGACCAGCAGCACCACCGCTCTGCGGATAATTGTCAGGAAAGTTTGACAACAGAAATCGAGGTTGTATGTTGTAGTGGTTCTGACATGAATTGAATCTTATTAAGCTAAAGGTGATAAAAGATGTGAGCTCTTATTCTTCTTTCACAGACGGACCGTACAAACGGTGAGCCCTCCTCTGTCCAGCCAGGCCAACTTCATAAACCAGAGACCCTGATTCTTCAATCTGCCACCGCCAACTCCCCCGAACAACCACCTCACCCCAACAATGCCCCTGACTCCCAGCTTCTCTGTAGTGACTGCCTCACCCCAAACCATAACGATGACCTTGAGTCAGTCCCACTCCCCCAGCCTCAGGCTCTTGTGGAGGAGTCTGAAGAGCAGATAGAGAAGCTGCTGGAGGACATCATGATGGGCCTGAACATCCTGCCAAACTTGAAGAGGGACTGCAAGAAGTCTCATCACCTTCAACGAGGCCACGACGGCACACCGGCCATGTGCCAGGTCCCGGTTACAGAGGATGAGCGGGCGCATAGTCAAATGCCTGCTCCCGTCGGTGCAGCAGGGTGTGTGTATAACCAGGATTTTGGGACACAGATTGGTCACTCTTCAGCAGGTACAGGTATCTAGATGCATATGTTTTCTTAATTATTTTTTCCCCTGCAACATTTGCAGACTGCTGTCCTTTTTGATATATAAATTGCTGGTTTAATGTATTGCCAAACAGTGGCCGTTGGGCAAGCTAGAGAAGTAAGTAAGTAGCCATTTATAATTCAAAGAGGGAGAGTTTTGGTAGTGGGATAACTAAATAGAAATATCAGACATGCTGTGAATCTGTATTTACAAGCTAAAATAACTTTTTGCATGTGGTGTGTGTTGAATTGGGGAAGCCAATAATTTCATGTCCATAAAATATAGAAAACCAGAAAATCCCTACAACTGAAAAGATGGAACTATGGAAAAATTACTTCAATGATTGATAAATCGATGATTCAGTTAACTAATCTTTGGGTTTATTGTTCAGAGTGCTGAAGAAAACAAAAACACAGATTTACCTTAATGAGCACACAAACAGTCTCACTTGAACTTGTCTTCAGTCCACAATCTAAATGCACACACAGCTACCCACACATCCCAAACCCCCAGCCTAACACCAGCCACCTCAGCTTTGTTAATTCAAGATGAATTGACAGCAGTCTTCCCACCTGTTGTACAGGTATCCATTGTTGTTTTACAGCTCAGAACCAGCCCAGCTGCTCAAGCCTTTCGCCCGCGCCTGTGCTCATCCAGCAGCACCAGCAGCGCTCTCCTCAGTATCACTCATCCGTCACGTCCATATGGCAAAGAGATGGAACGAACCACCAGAGCACGCCAATATCCAAAAGTCTCAATTGTATATATCCTGAAGCACCCACAATAAGATCAGTCATACCCCCATCGTTATACTCCAGTGGGCAGAAACCACATTATCTAGCACATGAGGAACTGTCTTCACAAGATGATGAGAACATCCTAGAGTTTTTACCCATGACGAATGGAAATGAGGCGGAGTCCTTGCGTTATTTTTCTTTACCTTGCGTGGATGATATGCGGCTTCCTCGATGTCTCTCTCCATTAGAGCCATTTGCCTCAGCAGCAAAACGTCAGCCTATCCTCAACAACTCGACCAACCATGACGAAAAAATTCATCCCCAGCCATCTCAAAATGGGCGATCCTGGCTCACAGAAAACCCTGGATCACTACAATTTCCTCTCAGTGCCATCACTCACAGAGAAAATAAAAGTGTATATTTACCACAGGATACAAACCACAGCTGTTGGTCAAGGCGATGGCAGAAACATCCAGAGAATCCACAAAATAGGGGAACCTGGGCAGAATCAGTGTCAGAAGTGAAATCTGACCAAAGGAAGATAAAGGAATGTTTAAAATGTAAACAAAGTGACACTAAAGGTGATGCTGCGGTGCCCAAAAGGAGGAAGAGAAAGCCCACAAGTCATCCACAAAATGCTGCCAGTTCTCTTCTGGCATACAACGATGTGAAAGTCAGTGATGGAACACTAAAAAAACTAAAAAGATTCAGTCAAATTAACCTGAGTGTTTGTTCAGTGAGTTTGTCAAGCAACAATGTGCTGGCAAAGGAAAGGGAAATGGCCCCCAGTGCTTTAAACATACCAAACAAATTCTTAGGCAAACCAGATGAACCGTCAGCCATCACAGAAAGTTCAAGGGAGAAAACCAGAGGGGCTGGGGATCTCAGTATCGACCAGACTCGGATCAGGACCAGGAGCTTCTTGAAAAAAACTCAGACTCAAACTCAAGAGACCCCAAGTGACACAAGCCTAGAAAATTATTTGGTTTTAAAACCCGTGGCCTGTAGAGCTAAGATCTTGAATGAACAAGGAGTCTCACCCGTCAGGCGGAAACGTGGAAGGCCGCGAAAAGCGAAGCTTGAAGAGAACCTTCCTGCCATCAACGGTAATAACAGCCACGGTGCGGAAAGTGAGCAGCAAATTGACAACAATTTGCCAAAGGAGGAGGAGGATGGTGATAAAACAAAGAAGAGGCATAAAAGGCGGAGGAGGAATAGAAGTGAAGGGGAGGTAATTGCAGTTAAGAAGGCCAAAAGCGCTGAGACCGCTGGCAAGGCTGAGGCAGACGATAACGATGACAGAAAACTTGACGCACCCAAACGGCCGCGGATGGTCACTCTGAAGGAGTTTCAAAAGCTCATCAAGCGCCAACACTCAAAAACAAGAAAGTCAAAGGAGAGCAAGGACAAGGAAACAAACGAAACTGCAAGAGATGTAGGCGGTGAAGCGAGGCCATGTGGCAGCAGATGTGAAAAATTATTTAAGGGGACAGAATTGGACGTAGACATCAGTCAGCGTCAGAACGGGGACGGGATTGAAGAGCCTTGCGTCAATGTCACAGTTGATAAAAATCACAATCAAATTTTCAACAAATCAACAGCTGAGTATAGCAAATCACGACGACATGACACAAACAGCTCTACCAGTGAGGAGACCAGTTTGTTGAGTGAGGAGTACCATCCAGTGTTTTCCTTTGATGTCTTGGGAGAAGAGGTGGCCAAGTTAGCTGCTGACAGGGAGCAAACACAGAGGAGTTCTGATGAAGGTAAAGTGTTTGTTCCTTTATTTGTGGTAGATTATTGTGTACAGTGAGTAAAAATGAGTCCACATGAATTATGGGAAAAGACCACTGATTATTTTTCATTTGATTTTATTGGTTAGGCTGGAAAAGAACATATTTTCTTAAAGCCACTGCAATATGTGTAAGGTTAAAAAACTCCATCTCCAACGCCATCTGGTGGTAATATCAAGAATGACAGTGTGACCAACCAATAAATGCAAGATGCTTGAATCACACAGGTGGGTAGAAGTAATTGTAACTCTTTGGACTAAAACCAATCATTTAAATGAGAGGAAACGTCTCTTGGGTGGAAGTGCTTACAACTCACAGGGTGCTTTTCATTATGCTAATGTGTTTCCTCGTTCCCCTCACTCGCTTCCTTTCCTCATGCCTTAGCTCCTCCCAGCGAGGAGGTAAGAGAGAGAGAGAGAGAGAAATGAGAAGACAGTAGAGCCGAAACTGCTAAATGAGAAATCCTTGCTTCCACAGCGTCAGTAACATATTAATGTTTATTACTGTTGTTGATTTTAATCATTTAATATTCCTTTGAAATCTTCTCATTCATGTACTGATCATTGTAATGATTACTTATTATTGTCTTATTATTATTTGCTTGTATTATTGTTTTCTGCACAATAATACACCACATAGCTGCATAAGAATGTGTTTAAATGTCAATTTTAGGGTAAAATGAAAAAGCACAAAAAACAAACATTGCTTCTTTGTGTGAATACTTTGAGACTGTAGACTGTAAATTGTTATTTAAAACACACGGCGTATTATATTGCATCTCACCATGTAGCTGTATTCTATGATGTTTAGAGCCACATACATACACTGCAGAGTAAAAGCTGTGAGAATAAACTGTGAATAAAGA